AAATTTTTTTTTACCTTTTAAATACTTTTGTTAAAAATGCAGACATAAACACATCAGCCTTGGCTTCCACAGGGTGATGATAACAATGTTAGTCTTCCTCCAGTTCCAACAACTAACTGGTTCCTCAAGATTCCCATCTAGGTGCTCCTCAATGCCATCCTCATCCATTTCAAGTGAAATTATTGACCATTTCAGCCACAGCCTTGCTGGTTTTTGCAATCTCCTCATCCTCGTTGGATCCTCAGGATAAAGCTCTCCAGTGACTTCTTCCAGGTGCCCATATATTCCTTGGTGAAAATCACCCCACCTCCAGCAAGTTCTTACTGCAATTATAGATGTTTTGAACCTCCCAGAACTGCAATGGTGTCTTCTCAGTGTCTTCTTCTGTCACTGCAATCGTTTGACCAAATGCCCCTCACACACTAAACCTTAAACACTGCTACTACTCCTTTATCCACTGGCTGGAGAGGTGATGTTTAGAGGGAGCAGCACCACTTTGTTATCAGGGTGGAATTATCAACAAGAGGATGTACATTTGTAGTAACATTAAGTAACATCTTCAAAGATAAGCTATTCTCCAAACAGTACCTCTCTATTTGGCTGCCACAGATATTCAGGAGAGCATCTTGGAAGAGTAACTGGGTCATTCATGACTTTTTACTGCCCCTGTTCCACAGAGGCAGTGTGTGTTTATTCATGTGCTTGACACCCTGGATCCTCACTGTGCTAGGTCACCACAGGTTTCAATTTGCAACATTCTCGTAAGCAAGACTGTTTTCCTATCCTTACAAGCCTTGAAATCTGGCACTGATTTGGCCTCCAAATGAATCAAAGTCCTTTCAAGCATCCATTTCCAGAACAGGGATGCTTCTTCCATAGTGAATTACAGTCAGCTTACCTAGATTTTCCAGAAATTCTTCAGCAGATTTTACATCAGAACTCACTGAACTACTGTCTTTCACGTTATGTAACAAATAATGATTCTTTAATCACTTCAACTTGTCAGAGCTAGGAGTAAACCAACACTGTAGTGAGGTGGATCCTTTTCTTTCAGTACTAAAAACACAACCACACTATTTGCTTTGACTGTGATCATCATCGTGCCAAGAGGTATATGCTTCTGTGCCTGGTCTTCAATCCAGATTACTAAATTCTTCCTTATCTGATACAAGCTCTTTTGGAATTTTTGTTAGTTTGCTGTCTTCACTGAATCAGACCCTCTAACAGCTTCCATCACTTTGTTCCTCTTTAAATTATAGGTACGGCGGAATGGGACATGCCTGACTGGCATGCTATAACCACTATCCACCCTTCAGAATCCTTTATTACTTTTAATTTTGTTTCCATGTCAATCAGTGTGGCCTCTCACTGATGACTTATCAGTGGCTTTTGTTTACTTTGAAGCCAAGAACAAAACAACACATGACTGAATGAAGCAAAGAGTATGACACAATCAAGAGACACTGAATATGAGATGTATGAGGTTGCTGCCAGCATAACATAGGAAGTGGTATGCTGTTTTACAGTGAATTTTTTTTAATAAGTAGGAAAACATTCTTAAAAATAGCAAAAAGTAAATACATAAACATTTATACTGCCACTTATATCATTAAGTATCATGTCCATAATTATAATTGTATGTGCTATACTTTTACACAATTGTTAGGTGAGTAGATCTGTTTACACCAACATCACCAACACATAAGTAATGTGTTGTACTAGACTTTTTTTTTTTTTTGCTGGTGCTGGGGACTGAATCCAGGGCTTTATGCACAGTAATTAGTGTTCTATAACTGAGCTACACTCTCACCCCTGAGCTAGTTTTTGAAGCCCACACTATAGAAGGCAATAGGAATATTTCAGCTGAATTATAATTTTATAGAATGAATGTCCTATAAGTGGTCCATTGTTGACTGAAACAGTAGTATGTGATACATTTTAAAGCTTAAAGTAAAACAGAATACTTATAAGGTACACACATGACATATCTTCCTTTATTTTACAAATATCTTTTGCCTTTCTCTTTACAATTAATGCATATAATTCTTTCACATGATTATTCTAATAGAGATTTTAAAATATTGTATATAGTATATATTTATTTCTAATTCTTTTATTTAGACTTCAAAATAGTCAGTCTCCATTTATGTATGTGTAAATATATATAGAGACAGATATATGATATAACTAGGTATAAGACTACATATAATATATGCGAAGTTTAAAACTTTGAAAAGGGCATTCCTTACATTCTTATTAAAGACAAATAATTTTGATATTAAAAATTCATTTTCTTTAAAATTTCAGTTAATAAACATCAATAGTTTCTCTCTTCTAACAGATTTAGTCTTCATTTAAATATGTAAATGGTATATTTCACACAAATATTCCTTTTTCACCATCCCTGATGAAATGGAAAATTATTTTAATATGACAACTAGAATATATCTACCTCAGCCTTCAAAGTTTCAGGCTCTTATGGATTAGCAAATTTTAATTACATGCTAATGGGATACGTTAATTTTTGTTTTTCTAATTATTTAAGTACAGAATTTCTTTGCTGAACAGACTATCAACAGAGAATTTTATCTTTGAAGACTATTAAATTCATTTCTAATATTCTTTTTTCTTTTTAATTGAAAAAGCAAGAAATTAATGGGAAAAAAATCACAGAAATTCTAGTATCCAGTACTTTACCACAATTATATTAATTTTATGTATTCCCTATGTATTCATACTTTTAAAAAGTTACAATTCCCATTCATGAATATAATATTTTCAAATTTCTCACTGTACTAAAATTTATAATTTTAATAGGCCTGTAATGTATAAATTCCCTCAAAAATTGAATATTCAACTATTTTTGGCTCTAATGAACACTTTTGGCTCTATTCAATTAAAATATTAGGATAAATCTCTAAGAAGGGAAGTGGTAGGAGAACTATAAAGTCTATTATGCCCCTTGCTATAAAGTTCCAAAATGTTTTCCAAAAAGGTTACATTAATTCTGAGCTGTATGAAACCAACAATTTTTAGCTATTGATAAAAATGACTACTATCTTTAATGGCACTGGACATAACTTAGAAAAACTGCTTTTCTATTTTAATGTTTACCAATGAAAAAGAGTACCTCAAAACTGCCTTAAGAACACTTCTATGATTACAAATGAGAGCTTCTGTATTTTGTTTACTATCACCCTGTGACAATCTCTTCTCTTTATTCTTTAATTTAGGAATTTAAATTAGTATATGTCCTGCCAAAGCAAGCACACTTTGGGATTTATATTAAAAGTCTGAATGATATTCTCATATATTATATTATTTCATCATAACCAAGTGCCGGAGATATAGCTCAGTAGCATAAGCACCTGCCTGGCAAGTGCAAGGTCCTGAGTTCGATCCCTTGTACCAAAAACAAACAAACAAATATCCATAAAAAGGATTTTCCCTATTATATGGTATCTCCCTTCAACACTTGGCAATCTTCATTACATGAAAAGTGTGTATGTGAAGCCACCTCTTTCCTTATATTTGTTTAAATCTGAGAAAGCTAGTATTTGTCTTTTACTTCCAAACAAGATCAATTCATATTGGTAATTCCATACATTTAAAACAGTTAACTCTCTACATATCTAGAGGGATTTCTGGTGTCATGAAGTGGGAATTAATTTTCTTCAAAACTGCATTTTAATTATCTCTATATTATTATTATATATAAACAGACTTGTTCATAACATGACTTGAAAGCCATAATTTCCTGACTGATAGTAATAAATATTTCTGACTATCCTAAGCTATCTCATTCATATTTCATTCTTGGCACAAAGCTCTTCTTTAGTTTTGAATGCTGCTCCAATATGTGGTAAAGCTAGATACTTCCCATATTATCTGTATTTTTTTTCCCCCCACAATGACTATTCTATTGTATATTTCAACTACTTGCAAAAATAATCCTCAGAGTTTCCAAGGGTTGTTTGTTTTGTTTTGTTTTGTTTTTTTTCAGGAAACTATATTAAGTTGATATTAATTTGGGAATAACACTTGCTTAAAATAATATGTTCCTTACTCTCACAAACACAGTATACTTTGCATTAAATTCATATAATAAGTCCATGAGAAATCTTTTAAACAATGAGTAGTAAGGTCTCAATTTGCACACAATATTATAGAAGGTATTTACCACTGGTTTCCATCAGTAGTTATCTAAAAAGCCAAAATGAGTCTTTCCCATCAGAATTTAGAATCTCAAAAAAAAAAATAGAATCTCATAAATCATTTATTCTGACGTGGCAGAAAACTCCTTAATATTCCAGTATCCCTAAAGCAGATAGTACAGAAAATGCTATTTTAAAATATCAAAAGAAAACATTTTCCCTTCCCTCTACCAATCCATTCCTTCCATCCACTTATTCAATCACTAAATTCTTAATTCAGAATTTAACTTAGAAAATAAACATTCCTTAGCTGTACATGGTGGCACATGACTATACTTTCAGTGTTGCAGAGGCTCAGACGGAATGATCACAAATTTGAGCCCAGCTTGGACAACCTAGTGATATTCTGTGTCAAAAAACAACAAACAGAAATAAAAGCAAAAATATTTAAATGGGATTGGAGATACACAGCTCATTGTGAAGGTCCTGGTTTCAATTCCCAGTACCACCACCACCACCACCACCACCACAAAAAAAAAAAAAAAAATCAAATGAAGGGAGGAAAACCAGCTAACGAAGGTATCTGGACAGATAAAAGAAACAATGCAAAGTGAGTAACAGTGCTGCTGTGTTCTCTGTGTGTTCAGGGTGCTCTTCCTACACAGACCACATGCCACGGTATATTTTCACTCCCACCTCTACCCAGAACCTGAGAAATCTCAGAATGTATTATAAAACTGAAACAAAACAGGTACCACTTGCCAGTTTTCTTCACAACTGGTTCTAAAAATCCAACAGGGAGAGCTCAGAAGCTGATTGTTATAAGCTTAAAAATTTTACTTTTACCTTCAAAACCAGAATTGAGAAGATGCTCCCCAAGGTCACAACCAAACACCCTCTCTTTCAAGATCCCCCGCTGCTTTAGCTTCTGTTTTGTTGGACGAGACTTCATGAATGTTCGTAAAAAAGTAATAAGCTTGCCGTGCTTCTTAGACACTAAAAAAAATAATAATGAGAAAATACCTCAGTTGTAGTAAGAGATTATATTTTACTTTTTATGACCAAAAAAGAAAAAAAACCCACCACCCCAGACATCTCAACAGGCTAACTGCAAGATAATTTATAACAAATATACTTTATAAATTGTAGGAAAATATCAACAGAAATTTGCCTAACATTGCATTATAAAAACTTCATAATTTTGTATTTTCTTCTAAAGTAAGCCTCTGATTTTACACAATGGTATTATGAGAAAACTTAAGTGTTGAACCAATGCCTCTCAAATCAAGCTTGCTAAACCAGCTATCTCACTAATGTATATTAAAGGATGCTACAGGATACAAGAAGGGTTCGAGTTTTACTCTTAATGTATCATTTTGGAAATTTTTAAAAGAGGTAAGACTTAAATCTTAAAAGAAAATAAATTCTTTCCCTTTCCTATCATCTATTGTACGTTTTGAGTTTTACCTAGTCTTTCAGGTTCCTACACCAAGGAGATAATATGATGTTTACCCTTCTGGGTCCGATTTATTTCACTTATGAGTATGGTCTCTAGTTACATCCATTTACCTACAAAAGCCTCAAGATTATCTTTAACAGCTGAGTAATACTCCATTGTACAAAAACACCACATCTTTTTTATCCATTCCTCAGTAGATGGGCATCTGAGTTGTTTCCAAGATTTAGCTATAATAAATTGTGCTGCTATAAACATGGGTGCTCAAAGAAAGGAACGACTGGGATGAAGGAAAGAAGAAAAAAGAAAGAAGGAAGGCAAAATATAAATACATATATGAATAGCTGCAATAATTGTATTGCTGATGTCTAATGGTGTATTGAAATGAACAGTTAATGATTATAATTTTTTATGTTCTGATCGATTGTGCATGCTTGTGTTTGGTGGTCTGAGCAACTGACTTGAAGGTAATAATATGCAATGGAGGGGCTGGGGATTTAGCTCAGCGGCAAAGCGCCTGCCTGGCAAGCACAAGGTCGTGAGTTCGGTTCCCAGTACCGGAGAAAAACAAAACAAAAAAAACAAAAAAAAACCAAATATGCAATGGAAGTACAATGGTGAACTCCTACCATCTTGTCTAGTGAAACTCTGTATTATGTCTACTGTTTTATTGAAGAATTATTTTCTTATTCCCTATAATGGTTTGAGCAATCTTTCATTTTTACATCTGGTAATCTGAGCAATGCAGTTGAGGATAATGATATGTAATATAACCACTGTTGATTCGTCTTATTTTGTCTTGAGACTCTGTATCACTTTGAATGTTCTTGCTGTGCTTTGTTTATGTTTATGATACTGGTATGCTGCTACTGTTCTATTTCTTTGTTTATTCGTTTCTCATTTACTACTCTCTTTAAAATAAAAAAAAGTATAGCTAGTTTGCATTTCTAGACAATTTCTAAAATACTGTTCTTAATGATTACTGTAATTTTATGAGTACACTGGGTAAAAAACCCTCCTTCACATTTTATAAAGACAATCTCACGTCAGCCTAACAGCTATATAAATACAAAACCATACAAACATCAAGCTACTATTAAAATTCATCTACATTATATTAAGTCAGTCACCTTAAACTCTTTGTAGATCAAGCAAAATACAAGTAAATAAATAATTAAAATATTTCCACTAACTGATATATTAGAAAGACAACAGTGAAAGAATTAAGAGCAAACAAATGCCAGGAAAAATAATTTGCTGAGAAGGCAGCCTACAGAGATAATTACTCTAAAAGTCAACACAAATTCCATAAGCTCTGCTATTAGCTACCAGATGGAAGACCATGCCATTTGGCAGCAATTCTACACAATTTGGAGATGATTCCTGGAGCCCTACTGAACCCTACTGTAGATTCTTAAAGAAATCCATGGTGGCTCCTGAGGGAACTCTGTGCACTAAGAACAACCCATGGCCCACAAGAGCTGCTAAACGTGGGGCTCCAGACCAGATGAGGTATTTGCTATTCACTTCTTTCCATTCTTGCAGACAACACATCCTTTCCCCAGACTGCATGAGAGTGACCAGCCATTCTTGTTGTACTATGACTGAGGTTCCCTGAGACATACATGAAACTCAGAAAAGTCCCAAGCAAACTGCAATAGAGCAGTCACTCTACATTGCACACAGATTAAATAAGAAATTTACTCTTTTCCCATACCAGTTGTTTGAAGTTAACAGTTAGAATCCTTCCAATAATCTTGACACCATCTTAGACTGCTCTGAAACCCTGGGTAAATTATGATCTCTCTTGTATCTAAAATCCCTTGCTGTAAAGTTAAATGATGTACCTTCATAGTTATAAGTGAGACATTTATAGCACACTCAGTTAACTTCAGAGTCTGTCACATATATTGTAATACTGAGCTGGTATGAAGTTTCTTCTGCAGTATTTGCTAACAGCTTGTCTATCAACAATCTTCGTTGAAGAACAGCCACTAAATCATTTCTATTCATCACTTTCAAACGTTTTCCACATGAACTTCAAAAAAAGTTTTAATAAGATTTCCCTCCAAAATGATGAAGTTTGATTTGTGGCAATTTAAGACTATTTCATAATTTGGAATTTCATTTTTTACAATATTCAATAATTCTACTTGAAAACAGGCTATGCTATTTTTCTAAATGTTTTATCTTTTTCATAAAACTTTCTAGTTTTCTTTTTTAAAGGACACAGTCCACATATTTGTTAAAGATGTTACTGTTTATTTTTATTTTTTTACAGCTTTTGTAGAGTAATACCTTTCTTTAATTATGGTCACAACCAGTGCTTACAGATCTGCTAGAAAACAATTCCTTCATTTATAGCTCAAATCCATAATTCACTAGAAGAGCAACAAATTTGTTAGGATTTGAGTAGATTCCTTTGAATTTCATGGATGTGCTAATTCTAGCCATTTTCAGATAGTACTAATTTGTGATTTGTGTTTCAGATTTTATTAGTTAACCAGAACTTTTAATATTCATGTTAACAATGGGTATTCATATTCTAATGCTGAATTTGATGAAAATATCTATTGAGTCTAACAAATGCATGTGACGTACACGAAAAGCATTCTTCTGTCACATAATTTACAAGAATATTTCAAAAGAATGGGAATTGAAGTTTGAGTATTAATCATTCAGTAACAAACACCTAAGTGCCAACTGTATCTCAGAATCTGGTATCACAGAGTTTATTTAGGGGAGATAATGAACAATTAAACAGTAATACAGATTCAATCAGCATTTACTTTATACTTAGTTTGGAAAGTAACTGCGTAAGTGTTTATTAACCATTTTTCATAGCACTCTGTATGGAAAATACTATTAATTATCTTTCTTTTTAGATGAAGAAACGCTCACACACAAAGCGCTAAATTAACATGTTCAAGGTCATATAACCAGGATTCAAAATCAGGCCATTTGGCTCAAAGCCCAAGCTCAATCTCTCAGCTACTACTAGATGATACTGCCTAAATGAAAACAACAAGGTAATTATCAGATTGTTTTCAGTAGTTAATAAGGAAATAAATGGGTGAACTGATTGTGACTTGAGAGGGAAGAAACTCCATTACATAGGACGGTCAGTGACAGTGTTCCTGAGAAGGTCATACCTGAGCTAAAAGCCACGAGGTTGTAAATAAACTAGGAAGGCAGTTGTATAAACTGAGGTTAAAGAGGTAGGTGAGAGAAGGATTACAGGATGTATCAGAGAGTTTGGGTTTTATGCAGTGGGACCACACTATACTGTTTAAACACTTTAAAATGGTTACTTTAAAAATAACCCAGTAAGTGTATTATGTATCCAAAAAGAAGATAAAGGAGAAATTGGTTGAATAAGCTATTATATTCCCAAGAGGACTATTTTTGTTTCTAAATGATCTCTACCTACTGATATAGGGAAATCTTCTGGACACATTAAATTCTAAAAGTAAGATGGAGAACAGTATATTCAGCATATAAAAGGATCAGGAATATATAAATCATATATACACCAATTTATATATATAATATATATTTATACACCATATATATGTGTATGTGTATATATGTATACACACACACACACACAGAGCTAATTGTTGCAAAAATAACACTAAAAAGAGAAACAAGCAGCTAATACAATGAGTAAAATATATGGGAGGGGACAGGGTGAAGAGTAAAGATAGAAGTAAGATTTAACTCTGAGTATACCTTTAATATTGCTTGGCTTTTGAATTATATCAATGTTCTTTTTCTTTTTTTTTTCTTTTGAGGCAGAGTCTCACTGTGTAGCTCAGGCTGGCCTTGAGTTCACTATGCAACCCAGGCGGGCCTCAAACTCTCAGCAATCCTCCTGCCTCAGCCTCTTGAGGGCTGGGATTACAGGCATATACCACCATACCCAGCTCACTGTTCTTTCTATACAATCAAAAATAAATTTAAAACATTAAAAAAACAAATCCTAATACTGAAAAATATGTATCTTGTAATATTAGTAACATAGTTAAAAAAGAAATAGCTTTTAAATGATTCATAAACAGTAAACTGACTACGTGCTTAGTGGATATAGTCTAAGGATGAAAGAATGTCACTGAACTGTTTTACAACTGATAACAATACTGGTAGTGTTCATCTGAAACAATTTTACATGTACTGGGGGACAAAACAAAAATATTATTAGAAACAAAGTTTTCAATGTGAGAGAAAAGATACAATAATAAAATCAAATAAATTAATGGAAAGTCCCTGTAATGCTACCTTTCAGTTGGAAACATCAACATGAACTCACAATTAAAGTATACACTTCCCTAAACTCTTTCCATTGAGAAAGCTTAGCAACAATGATGTGTAAGTTACAATAAAGTCTCCTGGGCTCAGCTCTGGATTTCCAAACACTTCATACTGAAATAACCTGGACTCTTTGAAGAAACGCCCCCTCTTTGAAGAAAAGCCCACTTTGCAACAGTACGGGAAGCAAAGGGACGAATCCTTGTGGACCATGCCAAAGGGTCAAGGCAGC